TATGATGGCATTTAGTGCAGATAGGGCCAAAATCTGTGCTTGCCAGTTCATGCAACACACAATTTAGCAACCAACCCGCGATCCAATATTGCTCCATATGGCTCTAAATCTGGAGTTTACTATATGCAGGAAGCATTGTCAATAATGTTTACAGTGACTTAATTGCTGGAATGATTTTAATTTATTTTCGTTAGTCCAAATCTCACCCACCAATTAATTGAATCCAATGCAAGAGGCATTGCAGTAGTAAGATGCCGATGGGCTCCCACTGTTTGTTTTGAGGAAATGAGGCATTTTTGTTGTTTTGGACCTGGATGGACAACTTATCAAGCGACGTATTGTGGACCATCTGAAGTTCTGGAGCACTTTTCAGAGGTTGCCCAACATGGAACACATTATGTTTAAGGGGAAGGACCAAAGCTCAGGGGCGGATCTTCTGCTTTGCATTCAGAAAGTCCCTGATTCAATCCCTGGCATATCCAGGTAGGGCTGAGAATATCCCTTCTCTGGAGAGCTGCTGCCTGTCAGTGTACACAATACTGGACCAAATGGCCTGAATCAGTATAAGGAAGCTTCCTGTGTTCCTTATCACTTTTTCAACAGCAAGGACTTAAAAGCAACTGGAAATAACATCCACACTACCTAAAATATCCAATAGAAGACAGGGAACCAGAGATTACCTTAAAAGTGGCTGAATTTTGTGCTGCTGCTATAAAATCAAGGAGACAAGCTCTGAATGAATCTGATGGCCAATGTCTTAACACACACATTTTAAATTAGTGGTTGAGGTTTTAATCTACATATTTCAATGGTTTTTGCATCTGTATTATTTACTGCATTCTAGTTTATAGAGTTTAATTTTAACCTATTTATATTTACATGTTCTCTACTGCTGTATACGTCCATATCTCTGGCCTGTGACTGTAATCAATCAATTCATTCATTCATTCATCCACACTTTGGAAAATATGCTGGGTGTATGTTTGTGTTCCCACACTCTCTAAAAGAAGGGCTGAGCATCTGTTTTGCGTGCAGAACGATTGCAGAACAATCTCCTGGTGGAGCTGGGAGAAAACCCTGTCTGAGGTTCTAGAGTGCTGCTGTCAGTCCGTGCAGACCAGGGCAGGCGACCCTTTTCCAGACCGGGGACTGCATTCCAATCTGGACAACCTGCCAAGGGCCACATGCCATTGGTGGATGGGGTCCAATGGAAAAAAAGAACAAAGCAACAGATGTGACTCTGATCTTTCTGCGGGAGGCTCCATCCCAGAGACGTCCACTCTCCATCCATTTATGCAATTGTCATAAGAAGAGCTTGAGAAAAGCAATGACAAACCTAGACAGCATCTTAAAAAGCAGAGACATCACCTTGCCAACAAAGGTCCGTATAGTTAAAGCTATGGTTTTCCCAGTAGTGATGTTTGGAAGTGAGAGCTGGACCATAAAGAAGGCTGATCGCCAAAGAATTGATGCTTTTGAATTATGGTGTTGGAGGAGACTCTTGAGAGTCCCACGGACTGCAAGAAGATCAAACCTCTCCATTCTGAAGGAAATCAGCCCTGAGTGCTCTCTGGAAGGACAGATCGTGAAGCTGAGGCTCCAATACTTTGGCCACCTCATGAGAAGAGAAGACTCCTTGGAAAAGACTGTGATGTTGGGAAAGATGGAGGGCACAAGGAGAAGGGGACGACAGAGGACGAGATGGTTGGATAGTGTTCTTGAAGCTACCAGCATGAGTTTGACCAAACTGCGGGATGCAGTGGAAGACAACAACATATGAAGAGCCTATTGGAACAGGCCATTGGTCCCTCTAGTCCAGCATCCTATTTTCACAGGGACCAACCAGATGCCTGTAGGAAACTGGCAAGCAGGACCTGAGCACAAGAGAGCTCTCTCCTCCTGAGGTTCCCAGCCGCTGGTATCCAGATAGATTTCTGTTTCTGACCAGAGCAATGCCTAGTAGCCATTGGAAGCCTTATCTTCCAGGAATTTGCCTAATCAGCTTTTAAAGCCATCCAAGATGATGGCCTTCATCATTTCATGTGGGAGAGAGTTCCATAGTTCAACTTTGGGCTTCCTTTTATCTGCCCTGAATCCTCCAGCATCCAGCATTGCTGGATGTCCACAATTTCTAGTGTTATGAGAGAAGGAGAGAAGCTTTTCGGTATCTGCTTCCTCCACATCGTGCATGAAATATACTTGGAGTCATGAGTGGATTTCATGCTCTTTATTCAGCTCATAGTGGTGAGGAGGAATGGAAGTTCCCAGAATGTCTGCTTAATATACATTATTTACACAATAGGCCCCATGTGATTGGCTAATTCCGGGATTCTCCTGTAGGACAATCAGGCTGTGGATTCACTTCCACCTGGAGCTGGATTGGGTGGCTCCTGTGGACCAATCAGACTGCTGCATTCTGGACCCTATTGTTCTAGGACCAATCAGACTGCTGCATTCTGAATCCTATTGTTCTAGGACCAGTCAGACTGCTGCCTTTTGGATCCTATTCAACTCAGTACATAACAGTGCAGAATTTTATAGATTTCTATCATGTCACCTCATACTTGAAAAGTCAGTCCTGAATACTGTAATCGTTCCTCGTAGGGGAGTCCCTCCATCCATTTCAGCTGCCCTTTTCTGAACCCTTTCCAACATTGCTTTTCTGGTGAGGTGACCCCAAAATAAGATGTTTACAGGGGAAACAATATTGCAGAACGGGACTGGGGTGTGCTGGTAGTGAGGTGAACATTCACAGAGCATTTGAGCCCCTGTGCTGGGCACCGACCAGTGTCCCCACGATGGCAACGTAATCGCCAGTGCCTTTGAGGACACAGCAGTCACGGCAAGTGATGGCACCAGTGGAGCAAAAGCATTGAGATTGGGGACATTCCTACCCTTGCCAGTGCATTCCTGGGTGGGCACAGCGCACCCTAATATTTCTGTCAGGTTTCAACTCTGGGGAATCACTATAAATTGCTTGCAAGGGTTGTGCCACTTGACTCTGGGGCATAGGTGCCAACTCCCTGGGGCCCTGGATGCCTGAGCACCCACAAACCTCCCTATGAAGGGGCCAGGCACCTACAAATTTCAGTGCTAGGGTTATGCATGCTGCATGGCTGTGATGGCCTGGGATTTGGACTCGGAGGCTGAACCTGAGGAATCCCAGCCTGCACAGGAGTCCCACCTCCAGAACCAGCTGAGCCGGGGCTGGGGCCTGAGCCTGAAGGGTCCTCACCTGTGCTGGATCCTCAGGAGCAGCATCAGCTAAGTCTGCTCTGGCTCCTGAGGTGATGGAGGACCCATTGCTTGCAGGTACTCCACTCTCAGCCCCGTCAGAGGAAGCTGAGGTTGCCTCTGGGTCTGGTAACCCTCCAGCCTCTCCTGAGCTGCAGAGGCTCAGGGCAGAGAGGCAGAGAGGCAGAGGGAACTAAGTTCTCGCAGGAGGAGTGCTCGCCTCCAGGCCAGGAGAGGCCAGTCACCTGTGGACCGGGGCCGCGCTATGCCTCAGGGCAGATAAAAGCCAGCCAGCCCCAGTCCCAAGTTGCGGGAGCAACATTGGTGGTAGCCTGTTCCTGCCTGCACCCTGTCCTGCTCTTCTGCCGGAGCTTCTGACCTCATCTGCCTCCCTGCCTTGGACCCCACTTCAGCTTTGATGGACAGCCTCTATACCGCACCCTCGACCTCGGACTGGACTCGGACCTCGCCTCACGGTTAACCCTCGGGACCAGCACATGTTCTACCACAGAGCTATGACCCTTCCCCAAGTCCCTGATCTCACTCCACTGTCAGAGGCTGTATGCCTCTGAATACCAGTGGCTGGGGATCGCAAGTAGGGAGTGCCGAGTTCAGGTCCTGCTTACTGTCTTCCCACAGGCTCCTGGGCGGTCACCGTGATGAGAACAGGGTGCTGGGCGAGGTGGGCCTTTGATGTACATGCCCTTTTTGTTCTGTGTTCCCTGATGCGCTGGGCTCACCCTCGCCACAAATGCAGGCAAAAGAAGGAAGCGCAAGCATGGGAAAATAATGGTGCGAGGCAGGACTGATATATACATTTCTTTAAAAACGATGTTTTGGCTGTGTTTTTTGGGCAACAATTCTACAAGTCGGTGCTTCTGACCTAAAAAACTGCAACCGGATTCCGTGCAGCTCCTAAACAGACAGATTTACACCCCTCCCCAAAGCCCCAGAGTCTCTATTCCTAAAGGAAATTGACCACCGTTTGATATTATCCCCCCCCCGTAGTTCTGACATTTCTAGCTTGCCCCCAGCCTCGTGCAGTAGTGTCTCTTTCAGGTAATTATTGTGTAAAATTAAGCCAGTCTTGTACATGAAGCCAGCAAATTAGCCAAGGATTGAAGGTCAAAGAGATCTCATTTATAGAGTCTCTAAGAAAATGTTAAGAGCAAGTCTGTGTCAGATGGACCGGGATGCTGGATTATGTGGGGTCATGACAACAGGGACTGAAGTGTCATTGAGGACGATGTAACCACTCTGCAGGGCCCATCAGCACAATTGGGGATTTATCTCTTTCCAGTCTTACAAGAGCCGCTGTGAAATCTAAGGCTGTGCGTGGCGGTGGGTTTTTTAAAGGAAGACCTTGGAAACGGCTGAATAAAATGCATGCTAAATTCTATTTTTGTTTAAAATTGCAACAGCAGTTTTAAAGGGCACCCTGAGCATTTCTGCTTGGGTATGCCGTGTCTGATGAAGGGTGCCTGACAACATGAGAGCAAGTCCTACTGGATCAGGCCAGCATCCTTTTCTCCTGACAAACAACAGTCTGTCTCTCTCTGAATGGCGGAAGCCAATGTGCATGTGGGATTTTGATGTGAGCTCTGTGAGAGATCAAATCGTCTCCTTCCGTTTATGCCCACTCAACCACTTGGACCTGCAGAACTGGCACTGCTAGAGGTACCACATATTACTCATTTCACAGAAGCACAAGACTTGGAAGGGACAATGAAGGTCCTCTAGACCAGCTCCCTGCAATGCAGGAATCTTTGAGCCCCAATGTGGGGCTCAAACCCACAACCCTGAGATTAAGAGCCCCATGCTCTACCGACTGAGCCATCATTGGTAAGAAATCATTTTTTTTTAGTGTGGCAGCACCCACATTCCGGGACTCTCTGCCTGCTGACATCAGGCAAGGTGTCTTCACTGTAGTTTTTGGCGCCTGCTAAAAACATTTTTTTTTAACCCGGACTTGTAGAATGCTGGCCACAAATCAGGGCTGTCTTCAGCAGATGCGGTGCTGGGGTGCAAATATCCACACAGAGCCCCCAAATTACCAAGGATAGTGTTGGGGTGGCTGTAGCTGTGCACTGCCAGCCATCTGGGGGAGGGGGGGGCGCAACTCTCCCCCATGGCGCTGCAGGAGAGCGATCCCCACAGAGGCTTATGGTTGGCAGGGCACAGCTTCCATCCTAAGCCTCTGCGGGGATCGCTCTCCTCCCGAGGAGGGTTGGGAGGGAGGCTGCACACCCACCAGCCTTATGGTTGAAGGGGCGCAGCTGGCGGGCATGCAGGGAAAGGGGAGGCCACCAGCAAAGCCGTGCAGTTCCCCACTTGCTGGGGCGCCCCTGAAAGGCCGGCACCCTGGCACGACGCACCACTAAGCCCTATGGGAAAGACGGCTCTGCCACCAATACCTCTTGGGGGAAGCAGAAGTTCTAGGTGAGTGAGTGTATGAGGTGGTGGGTGGGGAGGCAAGATTGGAGGGGTGGGTGGGATCACTACTGATGCCATGGTTTAATTAAGAACTGTGTGCAGAACATCCTTTGGTCTGTCCCGAATCTTCCAACCTTCAGCTTCTTTGGAGGTCTCCAAGTTTCAACATTATGTGAAAAAACTTTTTCATAATTTTAGACACTCCTATCGTGTCGACTCTTGCTCACATTCTCTCCAGACTAAGAAGTGCCAACTGCCGTAACCTTTCCTCATAAGGAAGTCGCTGCGTCCCCTCGATCATTTTGGTTGCCCAACTTTTTCCAGAGCCACAACATCCCTTTTCAAAGGACCAATTGGAAGGGTCATCTAATCCAACCCCCCACAATGGAGGAATCTCAGCTGACAGGAAGACTCCCTGACAGATGGCCACCCAAACTCTGCTTAAAAACCTCCAAGGAAGGAGAGACCACCACTTTTGAGGGAGTCACTGGAGAACAGCCCTTACCATCAGAAAGTTTTTCCTAAGGTTGAGTCAGAATTTCCTTTCCTGCTGTTTGAATCGACTGGATCTATTGAATCCACCTTCTGAAGCAGCAGAAAACAAGCTTGCTCTGTTGTCCATGTGGCAGCCTTTCAGACGTTTGAAGATGGCGACCAGGTGAGGTGAGGTGAAAAGAAATGTACACTGTATTTTAAGGGCAGATTTCACCACAGATTTGTGTAACAGCATCATGATAAGTAGAGACATATAGGAGCCAACTCCTAGGGGCCGAGGTGCCTTCGGCACACCCAATAAAATATTTGAGGGGTCTGGACCCCCTAAAAGTTGATGGTCATTGCCATTCAAATGGCGTGCATGCGCCGCCACACACAATCTTGTGATCAGTACTGTGGGGTGGGGTTTACCTGGCCACCCCCATATTTTATTAAAGTTGGCACCCCTGAGTAGAGATAAATCGTGGCAGACGGGTTAGCCTGGATCTTTTCAAAAGCGCCCGGACTTTATTTCTCAGCACATTCTTGCCAAATCACAAATGAGGGGGAAAACCCAGGTTTGGTGAATGGGCCTGTATCGTCTGTGGCCTGCGTCTCGTATCAGAGAGAGAGAGAGAGAGAGTCATCGTATCCTGAGCTCATAACCTCTATTTCCTCCTTGAAACCTGGGTCATAGCGGTACTTAGCTAAATTATATAACTGCAAACAAAGTGTGACAGCTTTATTTGTAATTATACTGCATTTAAAGGGAACAAGATGAGCTTAATGAGTTAATAAAGTGGCTGTCTGTCAAAGCCCCGCTGCTTTGCATAGAAAGATCTCCCTGGTCCCTCCAGAGGCAGACAGGGCCCAGAGCTCATGAATATGCATCGGGGCCTGTCAAGGAGGGTGAAGGCGGCTCGCCATGGCAACGGGCCTGCAGGTAGCGGCTTTGAGGCCAGCTGCCCCGAGAGGTCCCAGGCGGCTTGTACAAAGTGAAGACTTGCGAGGGGGCGCTCGTTTTGTCTTTGGCGCTCTCGACAAAACAAAGACAACTCACTCCTTTGGTTGCCTGCCACATTTTTTATTCATAAACAAGCTGTTGCCTGTACTGACATGATAAAGCTCAGAGTCTGAGGGGGGAGGCAAACATCTGAATGCAAATCCTCGTCTGGTACAAATCCATATTATTATACGCCAGCTATTCTTCCTCTCCACCGACGACAACCCCCCACCACACACACACACACACACACACACACACACACTTTCCGTTTTTGCCTTGTGCTAAGCTAGGCAGGATCTTGGTTCGAGACAGGCCTCAGACCCCAGTCGTAGCAGTGCTGGGGTGGAAAGAAAAATCGAACACACCGGCATGCAAAGAAAGGCCACCGTCCTTTGCGTGATTCCTGAGGAGAGAGCCAGAGTGAAAACCGTGGGGCTTCTTTCCAGGGATGGAGGAGGATTTTGATTCAGTTTTCATCGAAAGGAGAACATACCTAATTTGCAGTATCGGAAATGGTATGCGAACCCCAAAGCAACTGTCCTTCAAAATCCTCACATCTCCGAATTTTAAGATGCAATTATCCGGCAAAGAAATGCATACAAAATGCACACATTAGGGTAAAGTTGTTGTTGTTGAGTCGTTTAGTCGTGTCCGACTCCTCGTGACCCCATGGACCAGAGCACTCCAGGCACTCCTGTCTTCCACTGCCTCCCGCAGTTTGGTCAGACTCATGCTGGTAGCTTCGAGAACACTGTCCAACCATCTCGTCCTCTGTCATCCCCTTCTCCTTGTGCCCTCCATCTTTCCCAACACCAGGGTCTTTTCCAGGGAGTCTTCTCTTCTCATGAGGTGGCCAAAGTATTGGAGCCTCAGCTTCACGATCTGTCCTTCCAGTGAGGGTAAAGTATGGATAGAAAATGCAGATATTAGCGGAAATAACGTAAAAAAATGCATTCTTTTAGGGAAAATGCAAAAAGAGAGGGTGCATTAGGGGAAAATGTATATCGTAGGAGAGATTTGCACTGAAATGCTGATAGATTTCATGAGGACTTAAAAACAACAACCTCAAATTTATTTGGGAAGATGAAGAATTGAACTCAAGACTGGAAAAATGAGTGAATCAGAACAAGCGAATTGAAAGACCGCTGTCCTAGGAAATTCACACTTCTCTAAATGTTGCAAAACAGTTCTCTAAATAAATAATAATGGTTTGTAGCCAGCGCTCATCCTCCTCAGAGTAGAACTGTTGAAAGGATATGACTGACTTGGGTCCATTAATTTCCGTGGGTCTTTCTGAGTAGAATTTAGTTTGATGCAACCCAATCGGTAACAAACACTGCACATATTTGACGGAAGGGTGCCTAAGCATTCATATGTTGGTGGAAATAACATCATAAAGGCAATAGGGGAAATTGCAAAAATATATTTATTGAGGGAAAACTGCATTCACAAATGTGCACATTAGAGGAAATGAGCACTGAAATGCTGATGAATTTCCATCACTGTTTCATATACAAAAAAGTCAAACTGATGTGGAAATGTGGAAACGGAAAAGTGAGAAACTGAGAGAAAACCCAAATGGAAAGATTGGTCCAAGGCTATGCAGAGGATCATACTACCAGTGAGTGGATCTAGGGAGATAGGCTTCAGACTTGTTTAGTTAGCCGGTTTCCGGTCTCCTGATTAACACAGTGTTTAATTAAACTGATCTCTGTTTAGTCACACACTTGTTTGCTGAGGGCGATAACCAGTTTTAAGTCACTCCTAGAGTCAACTGACTGAAATCAGTGAACGTGACTAAATGTAGGTCCAATTAATTCTAACGGGTCTACTTTTGACTACAATGTAGGTCTGCATCTGCACTATTCATTTAAAGCACTATTGGACCACTTTATACAGGCATGGCTTCCCCCGCAAAGAATCCTGGGAAGTGTAGTTTGTTAAGGGTGCTGAGAGTCATTAGTAGACCCCCTGTTCCCTTCACAGAATAGTATATCAGTCAATCCCTCTTCCCAGCGAATTCTGTGAATTGTAGATCTGCGAGGGGATGGGGGATCTCCTAACAATTCTCAACACCCTTAACAAATGAGAGTTCCCAGGATTCTTTGGGGGAAGAAGCCATGGCTTCTAAAAGTGGTATGAACATGAGCCTCTTAATCATAGAGTCGTGGGTTTGAACCCCACGTTGGGCAAAGAGATTCCTGCATTGCAGGGGGGGGGGGTAGACTAGATAAACCTCGTGGTCCCTTCCAACTCTACAACTCTATGATTTTATGAAATAGATAGTGCAGATGGAGTGGGGTGCCCTAGAACAGACACCCCAGTACTGGTTTGCCTTTCTTTTCCTCCATTCAGGGAAGAAAGAGGCATGATCAGAGTTCAAGGACACATTCCAGCCAGCAAAAACACTCAAGGAGGGTGTGAGGCAGGGCCAGTGAGGGTCAGGGCCTGGGGAGAGGCATCCAAGGGCCAGGCTTCATCCCCTGGACCTGAGTTTCCCAACCCTGGAACTATAATAATATGAGAAACCCAAGCAGGACTTCTGCTTCAGCACTGAAGCCCAGAATGACTGGCGGTTCCTCGGCCCGTTGACTTCTCTCACGGGGCCTTTCTGGAGTGTTCTGGCAGCCGTGATCCAATCAATGCTGGGCCCTCTGGTTGTGGACAGGAGCTGAGGCTTAATCCTAATCTATATTGACCGCTCATTTCTACGTCTGCCAATTTGCATCAGGGTCTTATCTTAAGCAATGATGCAAGCCTGTCCCATTCTCTCACAGGAATCTATAATCAGAGGGCGGGGGAATTCCCCCCTCTCCTCCTGGCTTTCTTGTTAACGTCCATTCTGATGAAAAACACGCTGATCTACCAGAGAGGTGCTGGGATGCGTCTGTCTTAATATTTATCCACTTTCATCTCCAATCTGTTTAGTCTCTCCAAATGCCTCTTTGCCAAGGCAAGGACTCTGTGGAAGCTTGTTCCCAAGTTATGGATCGTTTGAGTTTTAGGAGCCCAGCTGAATGGATCAGAACTGTTCTCATAGGTGGAGTTCATCCATTTTTGGTTTTTTGGGGGGCGATGGATGGAACTGTGCATCTGGACAAACTTGGTACCATTCCCAAAAGAGGTGTCGAAAAGGATGAAAAAGGAGATGGGGCGGCAAGGAACAGCGCTACAGATTTAGTGTTAGCAAATGTTAGAAATTGGTAAAGTGCTAGAATTTAGTAGGTAATATTTGGTGTACGGAATGGAAGATTCCAGGCCAGTGGACAAATACAGGCTAATCTTCCTTTCCAACTCAGGGCCTCACCTGGGATAGAGGCTGCTAACATGACAAAAGGTGTTGATGGCCCATTACAGAGAAATCCCTGGTTCTTTCCCAACAGAAGTTGCCAAGGTTATGCTGAGCAATGGCGTAGGTTGTAGGGAAATCCCAGTTCTAACCACTTCACCCCATAAATACCCCCTGACAGAACACGGCCACCTACAGCCTTATCCCCTATGGATCTGCCTAACACCCTTATAAAGCCACCTAGGGTTTTTGTGTCTGTGTATATGTATATATATATGTATATATATATATATATATATAAATTGATGTGGGTGGCGCTGTGGGTTAAACCACAGAGCCTAGGACTTGCTGATCAGAAGGTCGGCGGTTTGAATCCCTGCGACGGGGTGAGCTCCCATTGCTCGGTCCCTGCTCCTGCCAACCTAGCAGTTTGAAAGCACGTCAAAGTGCAAGTAGATAAATAGGTACCGCTTCAGCAGGAAGGTAAATGGCGTTTCCATGCGCTGCTCTGGTTCGCCAGAAGCGGCTTAGTCATGCTGGCCACATGACCCGGAAGCTGTACGCCGGCTCCCTCGGCCAATAAAGCGAGATGAGCGCCGCAACCCCAGAGTCGGCCACGACTGGACGTAATGGTCAGGGGTCCCTTTACCTTTACTATATATGTATGTATATATATATATTAAATATACAACTTTTAATTGCAAGTTTCTAGATCTCATGGTTGCAAGGACAAGCTTTAAAAGATTCCACCCCCCCAAAAAAACCCATTGCGTGGCTAAAGGCTCGTGCGAGGCCTGAGTCTTGTGCCTGCGTTGCATTCTGTCACCAATTTCTGATTAGCTCTGGATGGCCTGAGTTTAGGTGGTAATTTACAGCTGCACCTGACCCCGGCTCCCCTTCTGCTTCCAAAAAGCCGGCAAGAGAGGGACCACACGGCTTGGACCGTGACTGCTGCCCATAAACATGATTTATCGCAGGCCTTTAGGGAGAGACACTACCTCTCTCGGCATCAAGTTATTTTACCAGATGGACTGTCTGTTACGCCAGCGATAAGCCTGGACAGTGACTTAGCTGATCACAAAAAGCTGCCTCGTATCTCTCTCTCCCCCCCCCCCCGGCCCCAATTCCTTCCCTCCCGTGCTCCTCTGGGTGCGTTTGAGCAAGCTGGTCAGACATGGCCTGCCACAGCGGAATACACACAGGTCTGATGTTTTTTAATGGGTGAGATTTGCGTGTTTTAACACAGGGGTGTGGAACCTCAGATCCAGGGGGCCAAATGTGGCCCTCCAGGTCTTCCAAGCTGGCCCTCAAAACTCTTCCTGGGCTACACCCCTGACCAGCCCTGCTCTGCACCCTCCTCATGGGTTTTTTCCTAGGCTGGAACATGCCCTTGCACTCTGATCTTTCTTCTCGCTTGATGGGAGACAGAGTAAGAGGCAAAGGTAAAGTTCGCCTTACTTGCTCCTCCCACTCTTGCCTCTGGCCCCGCCCACCATTGCCATGCCCTGCCCCTCCCCTGAAGGTTACACACAGAAAGTAACAGGGCTCTCAGGCTGAAAAAGTTTCCCCCAATCCCCCAGATAAAAGACGAGCACAGAATGTGGCATTCAGCAGCTCTTTGGAGTTCGCTGGCATCCTGAGAATTTCAGCTTTGATTGAAAAACAAGTTCTCAGTCCTTAAGGCTGCGAGAGAAGCTTGAAAGGCCAATGACTGGTGAAGTCTCCAAAGCCAGGTAAGGACAGAACAGGAATCCCATTGGCCAGACTGACTGGAGCTGATGGAATCCAACGAGATCTTGCGGGCCACGGGATCCCCATCGCTTATTTGTTTTGATAACACTTCCCGGAGGATTGGACTTGGCTGTGCTTGCTGTTAATGCATGTGAACTGTAGAAGATGCATTTTTAAAAAAGGTTTTGTTGTGCTTGGGGCATCCCAGTCAGATGGATGGGATATAAATACAGTGGTACCTCGGGTTACATACGCTTCAGGTTACAGACTCCACTAACCCAGAAATAGTACCTTGGGTTAAGAACTTTGCTTCAGGATGAGAACAGAAATTGTGCAGCAGTGGTGCGGCGGCAGCAGGAGGCCCCATTAGCTAAAGTGGTGCTTCAGGTTAAGAAGAGTTTCAGGTTAAGAATAGACCTCCGGAACGAATTAAGTTATTAACCCAAGGTACCACTGTATAGCAGCAGCAGCAGTAGCCGTTCCTATTTTTATTGCAGAAATGTTGGAGAGTATGATATCCCACTTTTCCTCCTAAGAGCTCAGTGTGGTATGAATGGTTCTTCCCTCTTTCCCCCACTTGTCAGCCTCAAAAATCCTCAAACACAACCCTGAGAAGTAGGCTGGGCTGAGAGACAGTGGCTGTCCTAGGGGAGCTTTGTGGCAGAGCAGAGATTTGAACTCTGGTGGCTGCAGGTTCTAGTCCAGCTTTCTAACCATGAGACTTGCAGGCCACCACTGCTGGTAAGCCTGGGACTCCCTGTACATGGGGATCATCAATACAGTACAGGATCAGACCCATAGAAGGCCCTTTGCGAGTAGCTAGCCCTGGTCCGTGGAACGGGCACCAGCCTGAGCAGCAAGCAGGTGGAAAATAAGAAATCTCTCTCACACAAATATGCTAAATGACGAGACCCTCCACCTCCAACACCCCCCCCACCCCGGCCACCCATCTTTTAGCTGCGGTCTTCATCCCTCGGCATAGAGAACAGGCCTGTTCATCCGCCAACCGTAGAAAATCTCAATTTCCCACATAAAAATATTAGCGCTTGGGCTTAAAATATTAACATTTGGATTGCGTTGCCCTTGGAAGCTCGGGGCTTGAATCGGAGTTTGGCATCAGCAGTTTAGACACAGATACGGCTTTTTTTAATAAAAATATTTTTTTAAAAGACTGTAAGCGTGGCAGCTTTTCAGCGTGCATTATTTCACAGAGAAAGGTGTCTTTAAAAGGGATATGATGAGGGAAGGGGGAGGAGGAGAGGGATGGGCTGTGCTTTGCGATATTATGGTAGCTCTCTCACATTGGTATTACACAGTCTAAATTCAGCTAAAGGGATTGCAATGGCTGCCAGTTAGTTCCTGGGTTAAGTTCAAGGTGCTGGCACTGGGGCGCAGAGCCCTATATAGCTTGGGGCCAGGATACCTGGGGGGATGTCTCACCCCTTGCAAACCTGGCTGGCTACGGAGAGGCAGATCCCATCTTATCACGAGGTCTGCTCTTTATGGTGGAAGAACAGGGCCTTTGCTGTGGTGGCACCCGTGCTTTGGAGCTCTCTCCTACATTTCTCAGATGAAAATAGTGACAGCCTATGCTACACCAGGAAGCTTCTCCCTTGTTTGATCTCCCTCTTGTGGGCCAGGTGTCAGCTTTGCCTGCTGAAGCTAAAGGGCAGGCATAGGCAAACTTGGCCCTCCAGATGCTTTGGGACTACAACTCCCATCATCCCTGACCACTGGTCCTGTTAGCTAGGGATGATGGGAGCTGTAGTCCCAAAAAACATCCGGAGGGCTGAGTTTGCCTATGCCTGCTGAAGGCTGTGCTGGTCCCGGGGGCTAACTGAGAGGCGAGGTCCGAGTCCAGTCTGAGGTCGAGGGTGCGGTATGGAGGCTGTCCATCAAAGCTGTAGCTGGGTCCAAGGTGGGGAGTCAGGTGGGGTCAGGAACTCTGGCAGAAGAGCAGGACAGGGTGCAGGCAGGAACAGGCTAGCAACAACGTTGCTCCCACACCCTGGGACTGGGGCTGACTGGCTTTTATCTGCCCCAAGGCATAGGGCGGCCCCGGTCCACAGGTGACTTGCCTCTCCTGGCCTGGAGGCGAGCACTCCTCCTGCGGGAACTTAGTTCCCTCCGCCTCTCTGCCCTGAGCCTCTGCAGCTCAGGAGAGGCTGGGGGGTTACTGGACCCAGAGGCAACCTCCTCTTCCCCTGATGGGGCTGAGAGTGGAGCACCTGCAGGCAATGGGTCCTCCATCACCTCAGGGGCTAGAGCAGACTCAGCTGGTGCCTGCACTTGAGGATCCAGCACGGGTGAGGACCCTTCAGGCTCAGGCCCCAGCCCCGGCTCAGCTGGTTCTGGAGGCAGGGCCTCTTGTGCAGGCTGGGATTCCTCAGGTTCAGCCTCCGAGTCTGAATCCCAGGCCATCACAAAGGCAGAGTGACTCCACCTGCAGCTGATCAGCCTTCAAGGACACAGAGGAGAAGGCACTGGAGACCCACCTGGCTTCAGCCTTCTTAACCTTCTTAACCAGAGCTCTCAGCAGCAGTCAGATGCTGGAAACAACGCCTGTGGTTCCTGGTCCCACCTCCCTGCTTCCTGCTCTCTGTCTGGACCCTTGATTGTCTGACTACGTGGATTGCTGTTTGCCTGACCGTCGGAACGGACTTGACTCTGCCAAGCATATCTCAGAGACCCTTATCTTTGAAGTGGGGAATCCCTTATCTTTGAAGTGGCTGCTGTGCACGCCACACTTTTCAAGGGTGCAACTTCCCCCAAGGAATCCTGGGGACTAGTTTAAGCCTACAATCCCCAGTATGCCTAACAAACTACAGTTCCCAGGATTCCTTGAGGCTTTGGTGGGGGAAGTCATGTGCTTTAAATGTGCGGTGTGTACACAGCCCCAAGTGTGCATCTGTATTGGATTTGGAGTTGTTTTTACACATGGAAGTGTTTTTAATTGTTTTTAATTGCTTCGTTTTAAATTGTTATAATTGCTTTTATATATTAGAAATGGGGCAATTGTCTTTATTGCTGATGTTTTTATTGGGAAACCGCTTCAGGGCATTTTACGGGAAGCGATTTAACAAAGGGGCTCAAAAATAAAACTAAAACTAAATGGGGAATAATTGCCAGCGGTCTGGTCCTTTTCAGCCTAAAAGCCTGTGAGATTTCTCCACTCTGCTTTCTTCAATTCCTAAAGATGTATTTGCATTAAAGGATGTAAGCTGCCCTATGAAGGTTGGAGTGTGTGCAGGAGGTATTAAGGACAAGAAATATATCTGGGGTTGGATAAGCTGGAATATAAAATTCTGTATGATCAATGCAGATCCTATAGACCAGCTGCATTTTCAAAAGTTGGCAGACTAACCTTTGCACATGGTTTTAGACAGCAGAGGCAGAACACCCTGCTAAGGAAACACAGAAAGCTTCCTTCTACTGAGGCAGACCATTGATCCATCTTGCTCAATACTGTCTATACTGACCGGCAGTGACTCTCCAGGAATTCAGGCAGGGAGCCTCTTTACCTGGAGATGCCGGGGATTGAACCGGGAATCTTCTGCACTCAAGATACATGCTCCACCCACTGAGCTATGGCCGCTTCTTCACCACCTGTTACGTGCCCAGCTTAAGTGCCCACAGAATCCTTCCTTCAATCCAGACAGGCCATTTTGTTGTTGTTGTTTAGTCGTTTAGTCGTGTCCAACTCTTCATGACCCCATGGACCAGAGCACGCCAGGCACTCCTGTCTTCCACTGCCTCCCGCAGTTTGGTCAAACTCATGCTGGTAGCTTCGAGAAGACTGTCCAATCATCTCGTCCTCTGTCGTCCCCTTCTTCTTGTGCCCTCCATCTTTCCCAACTTCAGGGTCTTTTCCAGGGAGTCTTCTCATGAGGTGGCCAAAGTATTGGAGCCTCAGCTTCAGGATCTGTCCTTCCAGTGAGCACTCAGGGCTGATTTCCTTCAGAATGGATAAGTTTGATCTTCTTGCAGTCCATAGGACTCTCAAGAGTCTCCTCCAGCACCAGAATTCAAAAGCATCCATTCTTCGGCGATCAGCCTTCTTTTTGGTCCAGCTCTCACTTCCATACATCACTACTGGGAAAACCATAGCTTTAACTATACGGACCTTTGTTGGCAAGGTATTGTCTCTGCTTTTTAAGATGCTGTCTAGGTTTGTCATTGCTTTTCTCCCAAGAAGCAGGCGTCTTTTAATTTCGTGGCTGCTGTCACCGTCTGCAGTGATCAGACAGGCCACAGCTCAGCTCTAATCAGAAGCATTTATCTAGGGCCTACTACAACTCCCATCACCTCCAACTGCTGCCTATGCTAGCTGGGGGCTGATGGGTTGGAGTCCAGGGACACTTGGAGGGCCACAGATGCTCCCCACCTTTGCTTTTAAAGGAGTGACATCAGTTTCTAGCATCCTGCCTATGAAACCCCTGGGGACCCCCCCAAAAAAGCTTTTTTTTGGCAAAGATCTGTTGGGGGTGCAGTGTAGAATCACATGCTCATAGAATTGCAGAGTTGGAAGAGACCTTGCAGTGGCAGACTTTGGTAATACGGTGCCCTGAGAGAAGACAAAATTTGGCGCCCCCCCCGCAGTGGATCCAGTGGTCTACTTGGAGGTTGGCAGTAGAGCAGCAGGGAGGAGGAGAACTCCCTGCCCCATCCAGCCCCCATGCTTATCTTCAGTGGGGAGGGGGGCTGTGTGTACCCACCAGCTGCCCTCTCACCACTGGAAGGCTTCCCAGGATTGAGTCCTCCGCAGGCCTGCAGCTCAGGGAGTGAGATGAGGAGGAGGAGGAGGAGGAGGAGGAGGAGGAGGAAGCAGCGACTGGAGCTGTACCAGCTCCGAGCGTTATTTTATTACTTTGTTTTCTTAGATTTCTATACCACCCTTCATCACAAGATCTCAAGGCGGTTCACAAGATAAAAACAAGGCAAAAGCACAAATACAATACAAAATACAAAAACCCCCAAAATAATAACCCCTTCCACCCCCCAAACACCAAACCATGAGGATGCCTCAACACCTTGTGCAGGGGAACTGCCTGCATCACCCTAAATCCCTAAATTCACATCCTAAGCCCTTTTAAAATGTGCTTTTTTGGGGTGGGGGGTGTTATTGGGTGGTTGTTTTTATTTTTACAGTGGAACCTCGGGTTGCGAATGTGATCCGTGCGGGAGGCACGTTTGCAACCCGCAGTGCCGTGTCTGCGCATGCACGTGACGCGACTCGGTGGTTCTGTGCATGTGGGAGCACCGAAACCCAGAAGTAACCCGTTCCGGTACTTCCAGGTTCGGTGAATCCATAACCAGAAAACGCGCAACCCGCAGCGTTCACAACCCGAGGTATGACTGTATTATGTATTTTGTGGTTTTGTATCTTGATTTTATTCTGTGAACCACCTTGAGACCACCCTGGGTATAGGGCGGTATATAAATTCAACTAATAACCACCACCACCACCACCACAATAATAAACCCACACTGGGATGCCGAGGGTCATCAAATCCAAGCCTCTGGCATGCAGGAATCACAGCTAAAGAATTCCTGGCAGGTGGTTTTGCGGTCGCACTTGTTTCATGAAAGTCATTTCCAAATAAAGTTGCGCTCAAGGGCATAGCCACCCCATATGAAAGAAAGAGGCTGGTCCTCATGAAAATCCACCAGTGTTTTAGTGCAGATTCCTCCCATTCCCAACATATTTGCCCAATTTTTCGAAGGAGGCCTGCATTTTGGTCCGTACATTTCCCTGGAAAGTGCGGAATTAGGTAGTTTCGCCACCGAATTGAATATCCACCCCAACCAGCCTAGATGTCACCTAAATAAAAAAGGAAGTGTGTGTGTGCGCGTGTGTGTAGGGGAATATATGTACTTTTGGCAGCTGTCAAAAAGGACCCAGGGAAGTTAGAGAGAGAGAGAGAGCTGACTCTTGCCAAAGGTTGACCATCGGAGATGAGACACCCACTTCCATCCCCCCCCCATCTTGTAACTTTCTGTGAAATCCCGCTGCATCCCAGCCCTGGAGCGCCATTACTATTCCGGCCGTAGCCTTCCCAAGGAAAATAGAAGCAGCAGATTGAGGCCTGTTTTCATATTTGATGGAGGACTAGATAAATGGCAGTCAGGTTGCATTGATAAGGCCCTGCTCTGGGGCCTAACCTCTCTCTCAGAAAGCCTCTTACTATTCATAGAGGAGAGCTATCTGTACAGCTGCACCTTGACACAAATATATCTGCACCTCAGATGAACCAATTCGCCCAGAAATTACAGCACTGGGGATTGCATCTGTTGGAGGAAGGTGGCGGGGGAGAGAAGCTAAGGAGGGGGACGAATGCAAGAATTGCCTCTCCTCCCCGCCACCCTCATGCCTCTTTTCAACTCTCGGCCAAATAGCCTTTCCGAGAAGCAAGCTTTCTCCCCATCACTTTTGCAGAAGTTTGTGGTTTTGGCGGAGGAAAGGAGAAGTGAAAATGGCCTCTTTGACTTACGTGGTCCGATGCTGCCAGCTTCTGGGATGCAGGGACATAGAGGGGCTGTCTCTCACAGAGTCAGGACATGGGGCCATTCGGCTCGGGGTTGTTTACACTGGCAGGCAGTGGCTGCCCAGGCAGGGGGCATTCCCAGCTCTACCTGGAGATGCTGGGGATAGAACCCGGGACCTTCTGCATGCAAAGCAGGTGCTCTGGCCCTGAGCCACACAGCCCTTCCCCATAGCTGAATATCACCTTCGGGAACCCCTCTGAGCTCAATGTGTTTGTGAGAGAGGCAGCATCCTAGTCCTCATGGTTCTGAATGAAGGGTGGTTCAAATCGGAACGTAGGAAGCTATCTGACACTGAGTTAGGTAGTTGTCCCATCTAGTACAGTGCTGCCGACACTGACTGGCAGCAGCTCTCCAGGGTTTCAAGTGGGCGAATGGAGGTCTCTTCCAACCTGACCCGCAGATCCCAGGGATGGAAGCGGACGCCTTCTGCATGCACAAGCAGAGCTCCGGTCCTTCAATTAAAAATAAATTAAGTTTCTAGTCCTCATGCCAGTGCTGAATCAAACATGAAAGTAGGAAGCTGCCTTATACCAAGTTGGACCTCCCCCCCGCCCAATAGTGTCAAAATCCACCTAGGAACACTCAAAATTCCCCTTTCTACTGTGAAATGTTGGCCCCCTCCTGTTTTCCATTCCACAGCCAGCTGCATTTGTCCACCCACCCCCAGTTATCAGGCTCACGGCTTCGCCGCATCCCCAGAAGGGAACTCTCAATGACTTGGCCACATTTAAAGGCTTTTTGCTGATGACATGAGTTTTTTCTTTTCTTTTTTAATTCGCCGCAGGAGACGCGAGCGGATAATTCGTCTGCCCGAGGGGGCAGTGCCGGAGCGGGGAAACGGCCCCCAAGTTGGGGTGGTGTGTGTGTGTGTGGGGGAGAGAGAGCCCTTTACAATGAGAGTCCCCTTGGGAGCTGGGACCCGAGATCCTCATGATGATGATGGATGCCCGTTGGGGACGCCCCGCATCTCTCCCCAGAAAATTAAAAGCCTATTTGGTGCTCTGCTAACAATGCACCGCCTGGAAACCTCCCCCTTATCAATCAGCCTGGGCTCTTCCTCCTCCTCCTCCTCCTCCTCCTCCCTCTTGAACAACAAATCGTCCACCTCCGAGAAATACATGTGTGCTGCATTCAATCTAGAATCATAGAATCATAGAATCATAGAATCATAGAATCATAGAATCATAGAATCATAGAATCATAGAATCATAGAATCATAGAATCATAGAATCATAGAATCATAGAGTTGGAAGAGACCACAAGGGCCATCGAGTCCAACCCCCTGCCAAGCAGGAAACACCATCAGAGCACTCCTGACATATGGTTGTCAAGACTCTGCTTAAAGACCTCCAAAGAAGGAGACTCCACCACACTCCTTGGCAGCAAATTCCACTGTCGAACAGCTCTTACTGTCAGGAAGTTCTTCCTAATGTTTAGGTGGAATCTTCTTTCTTGTAGTTTGGATCCATTGCTCCGTGTCCGCTTCTCTGGAGCAGCAGAAAACAACCTTTCTCCCTCCTCTATGTGACATCCTTTTATATATTTGAACATGGCTATCATATCACCCCTTAACCTCCTCTTCTCCAGGCTAAACATGCCCAGCTCCCTTAGCCGTTCCTCATAAGGCATCGTTTCCAGGCCTTTGACCATTTTGGTTGCCCTCCTCTGGACACATTCCAGTTTGTCAATGTCCTTCTTGAACTGTGGTGCCCAGAACTGGACACAGTACTCCAGGTGAGGTCTGACCAGAGCAGAATACAGTGGCACTATTACTTCCCTTGATCTAGATGCTATACTCCTATTGATGCAGCCCAGAATTGCATTGGCTTTTTTAGCTGCCGCGTCACACTGTTGGCTCATGTCAAGTTTGTGGTCAACCAAGACTCCTAGATCCTTTTCACATGTACTGCTCTCAAGCCAGGTGTCCCCCATCTTGTATTTGTGCCTCTCATTTTTTTGCCCAAGTGCAATACTTTACATTTCTCTCTGTTAAAATTCATCTTGTTTGTTTTGGCCCAGTTCTCTAATCTGTCAAGGTCGTTTTGAAGTGTGATCCTGTCCTCTGGGGTGTTAGCCACCCCTCCCAATTTGGTGTCATCTGCAAATTTGATCAGGATGCCCTTGAGTCCATCATCCAAGTCATTGATAAAGATGTTGAATAAGACCGGGCCCAAGACAGAACCCTGTGGCACCCCACTAGTCACTCTTCTCCAGGATGAAGAGGAACCATTGATGAGCACCCTTTGGGTTCGGTCAGTCAGCCAGTTACAAATCCACTGAGTGGTAGCATAGTCAAGACCACATTTTACCAGCTTCTTTACAAGAATATCATGAGGCACCTTGTCAAATGCCTTGCTGAAATCAAGGTAGGCTACATCCACTGCGTTCCCTTCATCTACCAGGCTTGTAATTCTGTCAAAAAACGAGATCAGGTTAGTCTGACATGACTTATTTTTCAGAAATCCATGCTGACAATCTAAATGCTTTCCAATTCGTTTGGACATTCCCTATTAATGCAGAAGGTTGGTTTGTTTTTAAATTGGTTTAGACCAGCTGTGGGGACGTTTTCTCAGCCTGAGGGCCACAGTCCCTTCTGGGTAACTTTCTGGGGGCCGAATGACAGTGGTGGGTGGGGCCAGAGGCAAAAGTGGGTGGAGCATCACATGCTAATTTTACCTTGGTACAGTAGACTCGTTCCTCCTCCTCCTCCTCCTCCTCCTCCTCCTCCTCCTCCTCCTCCTCTCTCTCTCTCTCTCTCTCTCTCTCTCTCTCTCTCTCTCTCTCTCCCCCTCTCATCTCCATCCTTCCTCCGGGTAAACAAATGGCTGTGTTAGAGCTCAAGGACACATTTCCATCCAGGCAAAAACACCCAAGGAGGATGTGAAGCAGATCTAGTGAGGAGCGTTGGTCTGAGGAAAGGGTGTGTGGCCTGCGGACGTTTCCGAGGCCCAGCCCACAGAGGGCAGGCTGCTCATTTACTAGTGGGGAACTTTTATATGCCTGTTGTCTTTGTCCATGGAGTTTTCTTGGCAGGGATACTGGAGTGGCATGCCAGTTCCTGCTCCAGGTGGATCACGTTTGGTCAAAACTCTCCACTACGACCTGTCCATCTTGGGTGGCCCTGCACGGCATAGCTCATAGCTCCTCTGAGTTATTCAAGCCCCTTCGCCATGGCAAACTGACCAAACTGCAGGAGGCCGTGGAAGACAGGAGTGCCTGGCGTGCTCTGGTCCATGGAGTCACAAAGAGTCGGACACAACTAAATGACTAAACAACAAAGTGGGGAACTGTGTTTGGCTCTGCCCAGGAAGTTTGAGAAACCCAGTAATATTGTGGTTTTTAAATGGACAGTGTAATTGTTGAGTTTGGACCTATCATGCCAAAGATCGGGTGAAGTCATGGCAAAGTCACATTTTTTTTTTTAAATGATATTTATTAAAATTTCAAAAAAAAGAAAGAGATTACATTAATAAGAAAATTAACAATAAAAAGGAAAAATTAACAATAAAAAGGAAAAATACAAAATACAAAATACAAAGAAAGGAAAAAACAGTTAAAAACAATTCCATATTTTCATCACTTCTCTTACATTTACTTATTTCCCGGACCTCCTCATACCACCCTCTTTTGTATTCCAATTCAGTTTGTTAGTCCAGCAATTCCTTTCCCTCCTTTTTAATCCTGATCTTTAATCTTGATATGTTATAACATTAAATTTTTACGTATTAGAAACCAATTTTTCCATATTCTTTTATACCATTACAGCTAGAAACCACTTAACTTCAATCCGACATCATTCTAACATTCATTAATTTTAGCAAAGTCACATTTTGGTGCACCAGCTGGAATCAAAATGGTGCCCAGTGCCCAATGACTAAGACTGCCACCCACACCTGGCAACCTTCATGCTGAGTTGGGCGATGATCTCTCAAGAGGCAGCCAGACCGATGCCAAAGTCGTGTTTTGGCCCACTGTCTCGATTCAAAATGGCGCCTGGTGTCCAAAAGGCAACAAAGACCCCCTATCCCCATCTTGGGAAGCCTTGTGCAGAGTCTGGGGATGATGTCTTGAGAGGCGGCCGAATGCATAGAGAACAAACAGACAAACGGCCGAGCCATTTCTTCAAATGTAAGAGTAGATCAGAAGCTACTTATTTTATCCCATTCCTATCACAGCCTTTGGGCAAAACCGCATGGACAATTTCTGCGTTACGAGAAATGCTGATGAATTTTCGTGAGGATTAAATTTTTTTTTACAATAAATTCACAAACTGAAGTGGAAATGTGGTGAGAACTGGTTTAAGATTGTGAAAAAACGGGAAATGAAGGAGCATCGCAATCAACAACTTTGCTTGTCCCTCTTTCTCTCTCTCTGCTTTCCATTTTTCAATTGCATTTGTAGAAAGCAATTCCTTCCTGAAACCTTTGCTGCACAATGCCTCCCCCCCCCCGCAAATCCTGCCACTCTTTGGCTGGTTATCTGACATTTTGGCAGCTCCAACTTCCACCGCTGAGTACCACATGCCCCTATCACCTCAGGGGTGGGATGGGCAGCAGGTTTGGCTGAAGAAGGCCGTCCCCAAATGATCTGCCTTGCGCAGCCAAAGACCTAAGAGCAAAATAAAGAAAGAGAGACTCGCACACCTACAAAACAGGGGTCCCATTAAACGTAAGTAAATAAACAAGAGAGGAATGCGCTTGGGCTGAAGGCAGTCCGCACAGGTTTGAAGGTTCGATCTCTGCCCTCCTCTCCCCAATTTATCTCTTGCCCGCTCAACGATAAAAGTGAAATTTGGGGTTTCGGTGCCCCCCCTCCACCATCCCGCCTCACTCGCTAAACTGGCATCTGTTCTGTGTTCAGTTTGCAGGAGCAGATGCCTGCTTGCCTGATCTGTCAGCTGCAAGCTGCCCACAGATGCCAAACATTTAGCAAGGCTTCTCCGCCCCCCCACCCCGTCCTCGCAAACGCCACTGCCAGCTTCCTTCTTGGGAAGGTGGCAGAGGAGAGAGCGGGCAGAGGCTGTCACCCTTTGCGAACCGGATCGGACACACATGGAAAAGAGATGCTGTTCATTCCCCTCCCCCGCTTCCCCACGGCTCCGCATTGGCCTGAATATAAGCCTCACTTTTTTCCAAATTCCGACCATGAAACGTTAAAGTGTGGCTTAAATTCGCGACCTTACAAAAATTGGCTTTTACGATTTTGCTGCCGAAACAGACATACGGTAAAACGGAACGGGTGTGAGTGCCTGCGGAATTTTAAGGGAGTGGCTTATATTCAGGTATTGTCTTTTTCTCTCTCCACCCCCCCCCCCGAATTTTAAAGGTGAGGCTTATATTCGGGTGCGGCTTATATCCGGGCCAATACAGTACATTCTGACCTCCTCTGGCACATAGAAGTCATGGGGTTGCCATCAGAGAGACCAGAGATTGGTGCCATCTTGGCAGAGGCTGGAAAAGATGGCCAGGGATTAGGAAAACACACACACACACACACACACACACACACACACACACACACACAGTGTTAGATAGGAACATAGGATAGCAAGCCACCTTATACCAATTGGTCCATCTGACTTAGTATTATTGACACTGTCTGGCAGCAGTTTCCCAGGATCTCAGCCCTATCTGGAGCCGCCAAGGATTGAAATTTGAACCTTCTGCATGCCAGGCACCTGTTCCAACACTGAGTTCTGGTCCTTCCCTTGGGAGCAGACGATTTGGTCCATGCAGCTCAGTACTGTCTACACGGGCTGGCAGCGACTCACTAGAGCAGGGAGTCTTTCCCAGCCTATCTGGAGGTCCTGGGGACTGATCCTGGCAGACATCTGCACACACTATCCACTGAGCTACTGGCCATAGGCTATGGTTTGACCAACAGCAGGGATTGTGGGGGACCTGTGGCCCCCTTAGGAACCTGTTGGGCTCCCATCAGCCCCAGTTGACATGGTCAATTGTCAAGGATGATGGACTGCTCAGGCAGGCAGGGGCTGGCTGAGATTGGCGGGGCAGGGCTCATTGACCCCAGCGGACCGGCCTCCACCAATCAGATTGCCTTTGTGGGTGCTGCTGGTAGGAGCACAGAGAGAAGAAACACAGCTGTGCATTTGCAGCGGCACAACCAGACGCTTTTATCTGCCCCAGTGGCAACGAAACATTCGTCTCCCACATCAGTCTCTGCAGCCACAGCAGGCGCTGCGACTCTCCAACGGTTTGACTTCTCCCCAAAGATGCACTCCTCCATTGTCTCCCAAGACAGGAGGAAACCAACAACCATTTGTCGTAGGACCAAACTCTGGCAAGGAAAACACATGCCGGGCTCTTTGCTACGTTGCTTTGCAGGACAAATAAATTAAAAAACGAAATGTGCGTGTTCTGTCTCTTTGCATGTTGGAAAACTAGACCCCCCCCCCAAGAGCTGGCTGGAAAAGAGACATCTTGCTGAGGCGAGCCCAGAACAAATGCACATGTCAACAGCTACAAGTGTGGGCTCTTCAGGCCCCTTGGTGGTGTGGAGCTGTTTAAATCTCCCCCCCCCCCGAGATAAATGTGGCTTTAATGGACCTTTCACTCTTTTCTTTCTTCCCCTTCTCCCCACATTGTGCTACGGTGGGGCAGGCAGACGTGTGGACCCGCTGCCTGCACCAGGGTGCCTGGCCCTCCCACCCAGCCGCTCTGCCCCACCCATCCGTGCAGGCCCCACAAAGAAGGGGTCACTTCTGGTGTCAAGGAGGGTGTGTGCGTGAACCAGCTGAGAAGCTCAGAGCACCGAACGGCACAAATTTCAGCCACAATCTGGAACGGAGTAGGTGGGGGGAGGGAGAGGCTCCCCCAACCCGGACGGGAAGTCCCGAAATGGCATATGGCCCTTACTCTAGAGAATTCCCATTCAGAGTGCCTGCAAGGGAGAGCCATAACTCTTTATGTCCTTTTCCACACCGGCTTGTCTCTCTGTTTGTGGGTTGTGCCTGCTGCAAAAAAAGGAGAAGGAATTCCTGTGGGCCATTTTGGAGGGCAAATAAAGCGGGGGGGGATGATGCCCCCCTTTACTTCCCTGACTCCATCTGCACCGAAACCAAATGAAGCATGGAGACCTTGCCTCCTCTGCCTTCCACCAACCCTCCTATTTCAAATTTCACAGAAAATGTCTTTTGTGCAGTCTAGGGATGGTGGTGGTGGGCCTGTATCTGGTTTTGTGATCAATTTCATGCCGATTGCTTCCTGAAACACATCTGTGGCACCAGCAAGGAGTCTTTCCCCTCTGCCCTAGACAGCCTGTGCCTTAGAATAGTAGAATCACAGGATGGTGGAGTTGGAAGGGACCCCAAAAGTCATCTAGTCTAGCCCCCTGCAATGCAGGAATCTCAGCCAAAGACTCCGTGATGGATGGCCGCCCAAACTCTGCTTCAAAACAGCCAAGGAAGGAGAGACCACCATCTTCCGAGGGAGCCTGTTCCGCTGACGAACAGCTCTGACCACCGCCAGAAAGTTATTCCTAATGTGTAGTTGGAATCTCCCTCGTGGTCCTTTGACTCCATCGTTTGGTCCTCCCCTCCAGAAGCTTGTTCCTTCTTCCCTTGAGATATTTGAAGATGGCTCTCATATCACATTTCAGCCTCCTCCTCTTCTCCAGGCTGAACCTCCACAGCCAATTCAACCATCTTGATGGGCTTCTGACTTTTCTAGGGATGGGAGATGGAGATGGATATGGATGAAAAAGGTTATTTCTTCACACCAGGAGGTAGATCTGAATCTTTGGGAAGGTCCCAGGGTGATTCCTGGTGGATCGGGAAGGGTTTCTTTCCTAAGATGTTGACGTGCTGAGGCAGACCATTGAGTCCATCTGAATCAGTGGCTCTCCAGAGTTTCAGGCAGGGCTCTCTCTTGGCCCTACTTGGAGTTGCCAGGGATCAAACATCGGACCTTCCACATGCAAGGCAGGTGATCTGCCACTGAGCCACAGCCCTTCCCTAAAAAACCAAAGCATGGTTTTGTATTAAGACCTCATTTAAACAGAAGCACAGGAAGTTGCTCTCCAGAGTTTCAGATGGGGGTTCGCCCCAGACCTGCTTGGAGAGGCCAGAGGTTGAACAGAATACCTTCTACATGCAAGGCAGTGTTGATTTAAAGCAGAGTCTGTTGTGCCCAGCGGAAGGATGAGGAAAATGTGCTGCATACTCCTGTTGCTTTATTTACAGTTCAAAGCTGGTATATTACAGAAAGACATCTTGCCTCTGCAAGAGCAGAAAATGCATCCTCTCTCCTCAACAGCTTGGAGAGAAAAAAAAAGTGAAAAACAGGAAACCAGTGTACGTCACATCCAGTCTCCCTTTCCCGTGAGAAACTCCAACAGTACAGACTGTGGAATGTAAAACAATGTCTTGTGACTGCAGTTGCTGCTCAGTGAGGGAAATAGAAACCAACATCCTCCCCTTTCTGTGAACATCACTGGGCAGCGTGTTCGTACAGTATCAGTACAAACCCAACTTCTGCACATAGGTACAGTGTTGATCCCTTGATACAATCTTGGACAATACATCAGCAGGAATTTCATTACCTGGCATATAGGACACCGTTACGAGTCCCTTCTGAATACATTCCCTAGCATGCTGCAACTTTAATTGCAAGTGCTTTGTGCTTTGCTTACAACCTTCAGACTTCAGCAAAGCCAAACATGCTTTGTTGTCCTGGTAAACCTGGATTGGACATTTGACAGGAATTTTCATATCTTTGCACAATTGTACTAACCATTCACAATCCTTAAGTGAATAAGACAGTGCATTCAGTTCGGCTTCACAAGTACTTAAGCTAACTGTTGTTTGCTTCTTGCATGACCAATCAAATAGACTCTGATTGTACATGTAGCAAACTCCAGACGTACTTTTCCTGTCTGTAGCGTCACTTCCAAAACTTGCATCTGCAAATATCTCAAGACCACCAGACTTCTGATTGTTAAATCTCAGTCTGTAATGCATAGTGCCTTTCAAATACCGCGCTATGCGTTTCAGAGCTTTCCAATCCTTGACACTAGGATTGTTGACTTGTCTGCTTAGCAAATTACAGCTAACAGCAATGTCTGGTCTTGAACATCTGGCAATGAAGTTTAGCTTGCCTAGCACACTCCTGTACAGTGTAGTGTCAGAAAATGCTTCTTCAGTGTCATCTACCTGATAACCTGTTGTCATCGGTGTGTCTACAGGGTTAGCATCCATCAGATTTAGTTTGCTTAACACATCAGCAATTTTCCGTGACTGGTGTACTAGAATGTTACCATCTTGATCTCTCTCTATTTCCAGAGATAGGTAGTTGTTTACCTCACCAAGATCTTTCATGTCAAAGTGCTCTTTCAGTTGAGCTAGGGCGCTATTGTACATTGCAACATCTTTCCAAAAGAATAATAAATCATCAACATAAAACAAACAGTACAGTTTCTTTTGCCCCTCCTCTTTGACAAATACATATGGATCAGCTTTCCCTTGCTGAAAACCTAGAGAAAACAATACTTCAGTGAGTTTTGTGTGCCAACACCGTGCACTTTGTTTGAGACCATAAAGGGATTTCTTCAGAGCACAAACAAATCCCTGTTTTACCTGTACGCCATCAGGTGGAAGCATATAAAGTGATTCATCTAGAGATCCGTACAGAAAAGCTGTATTAATATCATGGTGACTAATGTGTAGATTTTCCTCTGCAGCTAGCTTGAGCATAAGCCTAATGCTTTCATATCTCACTGTGGGTGAATAGGTCTCGTGATAGTCTTGACCTGGTACCTGTGCAAAACCTCTGGCTACCAATCTGGCTTTGTGTCTGACTATCTTGCCATTTTGATCTGTCTTCGCCTTGAAGACCCATTTGCTTCCAAGCAGTTTCATTCCTGGAACTACTGGAACTAGCTCCCATGTTTTGTTCCTTTCTAAGGAATCAAGCTCAGCCTTCATGGCATTTAACCATGGCTCAGCTTCCTTTGAATCCAAACCCTGGATTTCTTGGAAACTTGAAGGTTCAAATACCTTCTTGGAGCTTTTAACAGCTGTTACTGCTATCTTAGCAAACTCATCAGCAAATCTCTTTGGAGGTTTGCCTGTTGTGGCTCTCTGTGACCTACGAATTATTCTTAAGTCTTCAACACTCTCCTCTTCCTTCTTAGGAGAAAAACGACCTATTGTGAACAATGGTTCCTCCAATTCTTGATCAGAGCTTTCAGAGGGTCGCATAGAGGCTTTCGCACTCTCGAAATCCTCTGAATCACCCGATTCAGTTTCAGATTCAGACTCAGAACCTTCATCAGTGGGTGTGGGCTGTTGTGGTTGCTTTTGACTATCCTCAGTCTCATCACCGTCATCAGGATAACATTGGAAAATTCCCACATTCTCCCCCACTTTGCATTGTACTCAACACTTCTCGTGAGCTTAATTGTCTTAGAGTCAGTCATCATTATTCTGTAAGACCCTTTCTGATAACCTAGAAAGATACCATGCAATCCACGCTTGTCTAACTTGGAGTTTTGTGGTGAGCGAACCCACATGTCAGAACCAAAAATCTTCATGTGTTTGATGTATGGCTTCTTGCCAAACATCTTCTCATAGGGGGTACAACCAATCGCTGAAGATAATCTGCGATTGTAACTGTAAACAAAACACGAGAGAGATTCGGCCCAATAACTCTCTGGAAGATTGGCATCATGCAGCAAGGTTTTTAGACCTTGAAGCAATGTCTGATTTGCCCGTTCCGCAAGTCCATTCTGCCATGGCGAGCGAGGACTAGACAAATCGTGTTGAATTCCTTTCTCAGTCAGAAAAGCTTCAAACTGCTGAGAAGTGAATTCCCCCCCCGCGATCACTGAAAAGAGTCTTTATCTTCTTACCATGCACATTTTCCAACCAAGCACAGAATTCCTTGAACCTAGGAAAAGCCTCCGATTTCTGCTTGAGATTGTACACAAAAATATATCTAGAAAATGCATCAATGAGAACCATGAAGTATCTATTTCCACCCAAAGAGGGTGCTAATGGTCCAACCAAATCAGCATGAACAACCTGGTATGGTTCTGTAGCTTTCCTACTAGACACCTTACCTTTCGCAGCCATTTTCACCTTGTTTGCTGCGCATGCTTTGCACTTCATGTGGTACCTGCAGGGTTTAATAGTCATACCTTCAACCAAGGCAGGCATTTTAGATACTGCCTCAAAATGCAAATGACCAAATTTTCGATGAAAAGCGTGAATACATTCTGCATGCAAACTTTTGTTAGAACCTGCAATGCAACAAGTGTCATCCTGCACCACATCATCATAATACAAAACAAACAAATGATCAACATATTCTGCATGCAATACATAATCATTTTTCTTTGTGATGATGCACTTCTTGTTCTTGAAGGAAACGTCAATGTTCCGCTCATTCAGCTGTCCAACGCTGAGCAGATTATGTTTGGCGTCTGGCACGTAAAGCACATTCTGTATCGATAAGTCCAAACTGTGAAGAACAACAGTTCCGTAGCCTTTACTGGGAATAGTGTGGTCATCCGCCTGGTGAATCGCACCTTCCTGCGGTGTAAAAGACACAAACAGTTTCTTATCGTTGCACATGTGGTGGGTGGCCGCTGAATCAACAACGAAGAAAGATCTAGACGTCTTCTGGACCTCTGCAACCTTTGGAGTGAAGCGTGAAACCATAGCCTTGTGCTGCGTTGTCCTAGACACCGGACCTTTGCCTTTGCCTCGGCCTTTTCCGCGCGATGAGCTTTCGCTGCGCTGCTCTGTCTTGGCCTTGGGATGTCTGCATTCCCTCTTCATATGGCCTAGACGTCCACACGAGTAGCATTTGACTGCCTTCAAAGCTTTGGCGCCATCTGGTGGTTCCACTGCACTATGGGATGACGTCTGTGAAGACTCTCCCTTGCCCATGCAGCTAGCACCCCGGCGATCTGCTTCATTTAAAATCACGGCAGTAACAAAGTCCACTGTCAGCTGAGCAGTTGGTTGCACAGCAATCTGGGTTGCAACAGACTCCCAACCTGAACCCAAAGATTGTAGTATCATGAAAGAATACACAGCCTCTGGAAAGTTGAGTCCTCTCTGTTGCAGCTCATGTCTCAGATTTTGCATCTGCATCAGATGTAAACGCACATCTCCACCTTCAGCAAGAGCCATATTATGCAGCTTGTTAAAGTAAAACATAGTTGATCCAGCTTCTGTCCTTAAGTGAGCCTCTCTCAGAGCGTCCCAAATTTCTCTGGCTGAGGTCTTATCACGCAATAGACAGAGCTCTTCTGGGGATACTATCAATGTAAGAGTTCCCCTTGCTTTGGAATCCTTAGCTTCCCATGCATCTGTAACTGGAACTGGGGGGGTTTCTGTAATCACCTCAAACAAACCCTCTTTCCGCAGAATTGCCTCTGCATACTGAACCCAGTCACTGTAATTTTTCTTGTTGAGCTTAGGAATCCTACAAGCATCCTGAAGGGCCATCATGACTCTGGCATTAGCCTTCAGCGTCATATGCTGCTTTAAATCTTGCTGCGTCACTGCTGCAGCTGCCTCATTACAAAGGCACACTTAAAAGTTACTTCGATTTCCCCAGCATAGTGACTTGTGCCTGGGAGCCTTTTGCCTATTTGCAAAACCGGCTTTAAAAGTTCAAAGTCCAGCCATAAAGCCATTATCTTGAAGCTGGCAGGCTGCCCGGAGCAGTAGCACATACCTCATCAATCACTTCTACGCGCAGAGCAGATTCCTTTCCGATCCGTCCCTCTGCATTCCGATCCTTTGCCGGCACTCCGATTCGACCTCTGGAGTCCATAACCACGTGTTGATTTAAAGCAGAGTCTGTTGTGCCCAGCGGAAGGATGAGGAAAATGTGCTGCATACTCCTGTTGCTTTATTTACAGTTCAAAGCTGGTATATTACAGAAAGACATCTTGCCTCTGCAAGAGCAGAAAATGCATCCTCTCTCCTCAACAGCTTGGAGAGAAAAAACACAGTGAAAAACAGGAAACCAGTGTACGTCACATCCAGTCTCCCTTTCCCGTGAGAAACTCCAACAGTACAGACTGTGGAATGTAAAACAATGTCTTGTGACTGCAGTTGCTGCTCAGTGAGGGAAATAGAAACCAACAGGCAGGTGATCTAACTCACTGATCTAGGCACCAAGGGCATCCCCTGGAACATGCGTATATTGGGGAAAGTGGGTGTAACGATGAATATATTTATTTTTAAAAAAGCATACAGAACTGCGTTGTATTAGGGGGAATTGCTTGCCAGTGTGTGTAGATTAGTCAAAGCTGTGTACAAAATAGATGTGTTTATTAGGAGAAATCCGCACTGAAACACTGGTGAATTTTCACTAGGGTGTTTTTGTTTTCACTTGCAAATTTCCCGCAGGTAAGGTGGAAAACCGAGAAAACGAGAGGACCAAAACCAACAGTTTCTGAACAGAAAGGTCACAGCCTGCTGGTGGAAGGGTAACAAAGGGAACCAATCTAACCTCTCCTGGGAGGGAATGCCACAATATGGGAGCAGCCACGGAAAAGGCCCTGCTTCGTGTCACCACCAACGATACTTCAGGTGTGGATGGGACTGAGAGGAGGTGCTCACCTGAGGATCTAAGCACCTGGGCAGGTCTGTATAAGGAGACCCCATCTTTCAAGTGGCCTGGGTGCAAGACACTTGGAGGGGTCCTTAATCCCTTTTCCTTTTCTGCTGAAAATTCCTCCAAACGAACGCTCCAAAACAACTCGCACCTTGCAACGTTCTACTTTGTCTGATGGGCCCCGAATTCTAATAGGACCAGAGAGGGACCAAAACCCTTTTTGCTGCATGGAAGGATCTTGTAAATACTAAGGCAACACATTCACTAGAGAGCAAGGTGTGTGTATGTGTGTGTGTTGTGGGGCGGGCAGGGGAGATGCACAGAGAAAGTTGGACGTTGCATTTTGGGGCTGGGCTGCTACTTTTACGACATCCACTGCAGCTGTTGGGTGGCAGTTGGAGCCTCGGCAATCCTTCTGGGATGCCGTCTGTCAAGGCTGGCTGTCGGTATTGTTGGTTTTTTTGGAGACCATCGCGAGTCCCACCTCCTCGGAGCTTCTGCAGCAGGCCTCCTATTCTTATCCCTCTCACGCAGGCCGTAGAGAAAGCCCCCCTCCCCCTCCCCTTGCATGCAGAATTAATTGGGAGGAGCGCAGAAGTCAAGTAACAACAGTGGCCCGCGTTTCGGTGTCTGTTGGCTGGCAGGATTTGGCTGGGATGCAGCCCAGTTTGCAAGTGTGTTCACCATGGAGACATCTTCATCCTTCGCTTCATCTTTCCTTCTCTCTCCTCCCCCTCCTCCGTCTCCCGCCCATTATGGGATGCTGGCCCATTAGAGCAAATGGTGGGGAAACTTCCCCACCAACCTCAGTCACCCCCAGGGACCGGGGTGAGATTTGACTCGGCTCACATTTAAAGACGAGCCCACTTACCGAACTGTTTTTCCAAAAATTGCATTTCCCTGAATTTTGCAATGCAGACTCCCAAGCAATTTATGTGCATGAAAATGCATGTACTAGGGCAGAGGTCCCTAATCCCTTTTTTCTTCCCCATGCTGGAGCACTTGAGAATTTCTGAGGGTCTTGGTTTGAACGATTTATCTGCCCATTGTAGCAATTGTCATGTGCGGTGCTCAACGTGGCATACTTCTTAGTTGCATTTTTACAGACGCATGAATGAAGCTCACAGATTGCTGGTGGTCTTGGGCTGCAATTTGGAGAGCCCTTGTATTGGGGTGTGGGCAGGGTAGAGAGTGTGTGGCTCGGGGAGAATTCTGAGCATCAGATCCAGAGGCCTGAAGATCTGCACTGCTGCATCGAATTTTGGCCTTAGGCCGAGAAGCAAGACACAATTACAGCATTAAATGAATGTTCCAAGCACAATTCAATGTATTGGTGTTGACCTTTAAAGCCCTAAACAGCTTCAGCCCTGCATATCTGAAGGAGCATCTCTATCCCCATTGTCCAGCCCAGACACTGAGGACCAGCTCTGAGAGCCTTCAGGTGGTTCCTTCACTGTGAGAAGTAAAGTTACAGGGAACCAGGCAGAGGGCCTTCTCAGTAGTGGCACCCGCCCTGTGGAATGCCCTACTATAAGATGTCAAGGAGGTAAGTAACTATACAACCTAATAATAATAATAATAATAATTTATTGTTTATACCCTGCCCATCTGGCTGGGTTTCTCCAGCCACTTTAGAAAACATCTGAAGGCAGCCCTGAATAGGGAAGGTTTTTTTAAAATGTGTATTGTTTTATTATGTTTCCATATATGTTGGAAGCTGCCCAGAGTGGCTGGGATACAAATAATAAAATTATTTTTGTTATTCTTTTTGTTATTCTGTTCTTTCCTCTGCTTAAAAACTGACATTTGCTTTTCACCCCTGATATTTCCCGACTTTCATTGCTGTTGTCTGAAAAGACAGCTGTGATGCAAACTGAATGCAATGCCTGCCTCCTAACCCAGGAGTGGGAAACCTGTAGCCCTCCAGGAAAACAACAAAACAAAACAAAACAAAACAAAACAAAACGGAGTATACAATGCAGGACTCCTGGGGGTGGCCTAGAGAGGGGGGGTGTAGATGGGAGAGTGCCAGGGGCCCAGTGCAGTGGCCTAGAGGTCCAAGGCACCCTTGCTGTAAGCAAGAATTCTGAAAAATAATTACAAAAGGGAGGAAGGGGCAGGAGATCTGGGGCCCAGGGCAAAAAGGCCCCAGGCCCCGTTAGCAGCACCTTTTCTCAAAACTGCGTGCACAGACTCAATCTCCTATCTTCCAACTTTTCTTTCTCTCTGCGCTCCATCTTCCCCATCCAAGCCTGGCGTCCAATCATGAATAAAATTTGGGAGCCACCGCTTCTCTTTCCAACTAGTCAAACTTAATCCTCCTTGGACACCTTCCTCCCGCCTGTTCCCTCCCTCCCTCCTTCCCTCCCCCAATTCAGTTGCTCATCCGTCCACACCGAGCACCCCGGACCCTTCCTAATGTCGGAGGCAGATGGGCCCCTTCACAAAAGGACCCTCAGCCTCTCCAAGCTGGTCCTTCCCCATGCCTGATTAAACCCTAATACAGAAGTTAGAATTGATACAGTGGAACTGGGGGTGATTCAATTAGTGCAGCAAGCATGAAGCAAACAGCACAAAGGAGACGGGGGTAGTTAGAAAGTCATTTTCTTTTGATCATTATAGCATTGCGCACGTGGAAGCAGAGAATTACAGGCTCATGTGTCTTAGCTTAATATCCTCTGGGGCCAGATTTGTCGTCACGTTGAAGTTGGCTGTCAGAATGGGAGAAATCACGCAGAGTTGATGAATTTGTAGCCTGGCTTTCCAAGAGGGCGGAAGCTGGATCCGGGGGGGGGGGGGGATAAATAAAAAATAAATGCTGTCAGGTGAATTGTATTCTGTACCTCTAAAACTCACCTGTTTTCTTTCTCCTCTCCCTCTCTTGCTCTGTGAATCTTTCTCTTCCTTTCACGGTGAAAATGCCTAACTCAGGAGCCCAGCTGGGAATGGAAGCCAGATGACTTGGCGCAAACCCCACCTCTCTTTCGAAGACTCCATATCAGGCACTGTCAATTCATGTGGCCTAAACGACTGTCAGCCAGCGAAACAACCGCTGTTTTGAGGATCAAATGCTTCTCATGGACTTATGCACCATGCACTTAAAGCACATGGACAACACAAGCGCACACTCTGCAAGAATCTGGGATCTGTGCTTTACCTCTCGCAGAGAGCTACAATTCCCATTTGCCCTAGTGGAAAAACCACCACCGCTCCACCATTTGAGCAAAAACTGGGCATGGTTAAAGGAAAGGGGTTGGGTTATGAGATCATCTTGGCCCTTCCCCATGCTGGCTGCTGAGGCTGCTGGGATTTGGCGTCCAACATCTGGAGGGCCACAAATGTCCCCCCTTACAAACAACCGAATGACAGGTACACATACTTATCTCTATGCTATAGAAAGTTCCTCGGCTGATTCTATCAACTCAGTGGTCTCTTAAAGGCACAGAAGCAAACCAGGTTGCTTCTACTCCTGGTCAGTTGGCAAGTAGGAAGTTTTTCCGAATCCAGTCTGTTCATCTTAAGGAATCTCTCTCTGTCTCTCCTTTTATCTCCTTCTATTCTCCTATCTCTGTCTGGCCTCCCAGATATGCTAATCAGTGTGTAAGTATATCCTTTCAGATAATTATCATACATTATACTCTGCTCAACTCTGTATAATTTCCTCATCTGCATAATCGTATTTGACTTCCTTATGAATGTAAAAACCATCTTACCTTGGGCCAGTTAATCTTCATTGATTGAATATCAAATTCATTTGAATATGTTAGCCAAAGCTCTCCCACCGCACCCCAAGGAGTAGAGAGAGAGAGAGAGAGAGAAGGTGGAGGAAATCACAAGAGAAACGGCTTCTGTGGCTACTTTTGCCACGATGTTGCCTGCCCTGATCGATCGTGCACTTTTAGCAGCAGGATTTTGTATAGATTTACCCGGTAAGTAAGTCCCATTGTGTCCAAGGGGCTTGCTCCTAGGTAAGCATTAGGTGTGTCATTTCTGGTTCCCCTCAATTTCTCATTTCCTCACCCACCATCTTAAGTTCAGTTCTACACCAATTTGCAATTTTTTTAAATAAAAAAAAAACCTTATGAAAATCTTTCTGCCTTTCAAGTGCAGTTTTCTCCCATTTTATAAATTTTCACATGCGCTTCTGACTAATGCAGACATTTGAAAAGTTTCCCTAATACAACAGACACTGGGATTTTACTGCATGTTTACATCCCCAAGCAGCCTGCGTAGGATGCCAGGCAATTTGAAATGGGGAAGCCAACGTGATTTATGATCTTGGGGACTACAACACCCATCAGTCCAAGTCAACATGACTGTTGGTCAGGAATGACGGGACTTGTAGTCCCTGATATGTGGAGGGCACCTTGTTTTAGACTCTGGACTGACTGGAGGAAGATTAAACAACAACAATAAACAAACATGGCCATGCTTTGTATTCTGTGTTCTTCTGTTTGCTGCTGCATAGTGTAATCCCTTGAAAAAGAAAAAGTCTGTAGGGTTTTCATAGGCAGGATCTCAGAAGCTGATGTCAACCCTTCGAAGCAAATATGTGAAGCATCTGTATCTCTCCAGATGTCACTGGACTCTGACTCCCATCAGCCCCCAGCCAGCAAATTCAACATTCAGGGGCAACGGGAGTTGTAGTTCAGCAACATGTGGCGGGCAGCTGGAGAACTACTTTTGATACTGAGCTAGATGATCTAACTGGATTGAAAGACGCATCCTGGGCATTTAACAAGAGGCGAAGAAGTGAGGAGAGGAGAGGGAAGTTTGCGGAAGTCATTCTGTGACCCGCAGTGATTTAGCACCGGCTATCCTAGTCAGCGCTGTGGGTTAAACCACAGAGCCTAGGACTTGCTGATCAGAAGGTCAGCGGTTCGAATCCCTGCGACGGGGTGAGCTCCCATTGCTCGGTCTCTGCTCCTGCCAACCTAGCAGTTTGAAAGCACTTCAAAGTGCAAGTAGATAAATAGGTAAGGAATACCTTTTGGCGGGAAGGTAAACGGCGTTTCCATGCACTGCTCTGGTTCACCAGAAGCGGCTTAGTCATGCTGGCCACATGACCCGGAAGCTGTACGCCGGCTCCCTCGGCCAGTAAAGCGAGATGAGCGCTGCAACCCCAGAGTCGGTCATGACTGGACCTAATGGTCAGGCGTCCCTTTACCTTTATCCTAGTCAGCCTCTTTTCGACCTGGTGTAATCCTTCAACTATTTTGTGTGTGTGAAAATCAAAGACAACAATGCAGTCTTGCTGCATTTTCACTGGTGGCATTATTCCCCCCCCCCCACATTATGCCCATTTTACTGCCTCCTCTTGAAAAGCAGAATCGAGAAGGCCATTTGAGAACCATGAATGTTTTTGGCATCTGTCTGGCTCAAGCCAGGGCCTACACAGCCATTAAGCAGAGTGAGGAAGCTGCCCTGATCAGTAAATCAAAATTCTAAGAAGCTGCCCTATACTGAGTCAGCCCTTTGATCCCTCTACCTAAGTAATGTCTGTGTGTTCTCTCCAGAGTTTCAGGCGGGGACTCGAACCTGGGACCTTCTGCATGCAAAGCAGATGCTCTGCTCCTGAGCTACGCCCCTACAGCCCCCCCCCGTTGGGGTTCAGGGGTGGTGAGCTCAAAGAAAACAGATGCAGCGAAGGCTTAAAATTAACACAGAGAGGAACGGTTCCTCCCCGTTAACAAAGCATTTGCAAAGAAGCCCCCCTTTTTAAATGAAACCTGTATCTCAGTTCCTCACAAGGAAGGCAGAGGCTGAGGTAGGCAGATGTGGATTTGAGATAGTTCTAATTCCTTCCCTCCCTGGAGGGCTGCTGTGCGCTTTACCAGCTAAGTGATTTTTAAGACAAAGGTTTTCTGCATTTCCCCCTTTTTTAAAAAAAACAACAACCAACAACCCCAAATGGCAAATGAAGATCTCCTTGCACTCGCACAACAATGACGGCAAAGAATTAGGGTTGCAAGCTCTCAGGATTTGACCTCCAGGGTGTTTGCTTGAAGAAGAGTCCTTCTGAATCAGGCCAAAGGGACTAGATAGACGCACCAGGGCATATCTTATGTGATGGGGAAACACAGTCAGATGGGTGGGGTATAAATAATAAATGATGATGATGTCCTTAATCCCCTGTTCTTACAGTGGTCAAGCACAACCGCAAAGCAGAACATGGGTGCAACAACACTCTCTCCAACTTGTGATTCTCAGCAATTGGTATTCAGCGGGCTAGAGCGTGGTGCTGATCATGTCAAGGTTGCAGGTTTGATCCCCATATGGGACAGCTGCATATTGTAGGGGTTTGGGCTAGTCGATCCCTCAGGATCCCTTCCAACTCTAGGATTCTATGAGAGAAAACTTCTATGAGAAGCACAAAGCCTCTGGCAGTGGAGTTAGGACCAAGCCTTTGTGCCTAGCAATCGCTGATAGCCTTCTCCTCCACGAATTGGTCTAACAGGAACACACGACGAGCCCATGCAGTCGGGCAACCTGTTCTCACAGTGGCCAACCAAGTGACTCCAAGCACAATGGCTCCAAGCTCAGCCACCATTTTAAGCTAGACTTAAGCCCGTCTTAGCAACTGAATTGCCATTTTAAGCCTGCCCGAACAAAGCTGCTGTATCTATCACTCTTCAACAAGTATTCTGAGCGAGTAAATGTTGTTTTTGCCTTTTACAAAACTTTGTGCGGTTATTCTTTTAAGGGAGAGGAAAAGGGGGAAATCCAGTTTGCCTTAAAAAAATCCTGGATTACTTAAACTAAAAGGCTAAAACTAGCCTATCTAAGCTTGCTTCTGAGCTGCAAAGGGATGCACTCTGCTGAACCCCCCAAGCTGAGGAAGGATATTAAATAATCTCCTAGCAACTGTTCACATCCTATCATAGATTTGCTTGCAGAAGCACACAAGCTCAATTCCCAGCGTTTTCATATAGGGCTGAGAATGTCTCCCTGTCGGAAATGACAGAGAGCTGCTGCCAATCAGTGTAGACAATGCTGCAGTAGATGGACCAAAACTGACTCAGCCTGAGGAAGCTTCCTGTGGTCCTGTATCCCACGCGATATTAGCCTCTTAGGGCAGCTGCTTCACTCTGTTTAACAGTTGGGCCGGCCCCATTTGTGTTTCCAGGCATTTTGGAAATCAGCCGAGATTCTCCCACCGAGGTTTCCACTGCCCCCTTCTTACTAATTTTTATTAATGTTATAGTTTGACATTCTTTTAATTAGGTCTATTGTACATTCCTGCATTATCTTGCACTGTGCCTTGTGAACATGTGTCGAGAGGCCGCTTACAAATGCCATTAATGAATATTAATAAACTACGGGAAGGTAGAGGAGCCCTCGCCTTCCCCTGCATGTGGGTGCTGCCTCTCTTGCCCCCCAACTCTCGCTAATCCGGGGGGGGCAGCCTCAGCTCCACCGCCCTGCCGTCAAGGAGCGGATGAGCCTGTCCCGACCTGATAGGGATCTGCTAATCATCGCAAGGAGGCATCAGCCCTGCTAGCTGGAGATATGTACTTAACATATTTAAATCTCCAGCTCTCGCCTTCTTTAGTATGGGGAGCGAGTCTTGCTAAACAAACACAAAGGCTCTGAGCTCTTGAATGGGGGAATGGGAGACGGGGATGGCGAGGCGGGGGAAAGAGAGAATTTGCAAGAGGAAGGATGGCGAGAAAAGGGATGTTTCTTCTATTCATCGAACGGCAAGAAGTGCCTGGCTGCAGGATCAGGCCAAAGGTTTGTCTAGTCCAGGCATGGCCAAACTTGGGCCCCCCCAGCTGTTTTGGGACTACAACTCCCATCATCCCTAGCTAACAGGACCAGTGGTCAGGGATGATGGGAATTGTAGTCCCAAAACAACTGGAGGGCCAAGTTTGGCCATGCCTGGTCTAGTCCAATGTCCTGATCTCACAGTGGCCAACCAGAGGTCCCCAATGGGAAGCCCAAAGGCAGGACCCTGGGTGACATAGCATGGCAGGGAGAAAGTGGATAGAGACAAGTGGTTCTCCTTCTCTCATAATGCTAGAACTCCAAACAAAACTGAATGTTGGGAGATTCAGGACAGAGAAAAGAAAGCCCTTCTTCGCATAGGTGGGAGTTGATCTGTGAAACTCCCTCCCACAAGAGGCAGTGATTGTCACTAGTGTAAAGGTAAAGGGACCCCTGACCATTAGGTCCAGTTGTGGATAACTCTGGGGTTGCGGCGCTCATCTCGCTTTACTGGCCAAGGGAGCCGGCGTACAGCTTCCGGGTCATGTGGCCAGCATGACGAAGCTGCTTCTGGAGAACCAGAGCAGTGCACGGAAACGCCGTTTACCTTCCCACCAGAGTGGTACCTATTTATCTACTTGCACTTTGACGTGCTTTCGAACTGCTAGGTTGGCAGGAGCAGGGACCGAGCAACGGGAGCTCACCCCGTCGTGGGGATTCGAACCACCGACCTTCTGATCAGCAAGCCCTAGGCTCTGTGGTTTAACCCACAGCGCCACCCACATCCCTTTATCACCAGTCTAGATGGCTTTAAAAGAGGATCGGACAAATTCATGGAGGAGGAGAGGGCTATCAGTGGCTACTTTCATGGATAGAGGCATTACACATCTGAATACCAGCTGCCGGCAATTGCAGGTGGGTAGAGGGCTGTTCCAGTCATGTCCAGTTTGCAGAGGCATCTGGTCAGCCACTGAGAGAAAGAAGATGTTGGACTGCATAGGCCACTGGCCTGATATGGCAGGCTTGTTTACAAAGCTATTGTACTACCAACCTTTCTGTATGCTTGTGAAACACGGACCACTTATAAACGCCACCTCCAACTCCTCGAAAGATTCTATCAATGGTGTCTCCAACATTTTTTACACATCACTTGGGGAGACAGGCAAATTAATGCCAGTGTACTGGAAGAAGCAAAGATCACCCCTGTCGAAGCAATGATTCTTCAGCATCAACTTCGTTGGGCTGTTGTGAGATGCCTGATTATCGCCTTCCAAAGCAACTACTCCATTCCAAACTTAAAAATGGAAAGCGTAATGCTGGTGGTCAACAAAAGAGGTTTAAAGACATTCTCAAGGCAACTTTTTAAAAAAATGGTAGTATAAACACCAACAACTGGGAAACACTGGCCTGCGAGCGCTCCAGTTGGAGAACAGCCTTTACCAAAGGTGTCGTGGGCTTTGAAAATGCTCAAACTCAGGACGAAAGGGAGAAACGAGTTAAGAGGAAGGCATGTTCGTGATCAACTCCCACCCAGAAACCTATATCCCCACTGTGGAAGGATGTGTGGATCCAGAATTGGCCTCCACAGCCACTTACAGACTCAATGTTAAGTTCATGTTCATGGAAGACAATCTTACTCGGCTACGAGTGATCATCAAAGAAGAAGTTGGCAGGCTTATCCTATGCTCTTGTATTCTTAACGATGACGGTGCTTAGATTTTCATTTTGGCCAATGCTTTCCTTTGGCCAGTGGATCATCACATGGGGAAGTGATATTGAGCAATGCTCCTAAGATTATGAGATGGAGAACCTCTCCTAAGATAGGTTGCTCTTGAGCAGTGTCTGGGCGGGTGTCCTATGTTAAGTCCTTCCCAAGCAACCTGAAATTATGTCAGCTTGTCTCAGGCCCTCCAAGTGCCCCTATTTTCCAGGGACATCCCTGATTTAGAGAAGCCATCCCGGTTTCTGATTTGATCCCAGAATGTCCCACTTTCCCTTAGGATGTCCCTATTTTCATTAGAGAAATCTTGGAGGGTCATCTGGTAGGATGTCTCGATTTTCAGTGGAGAAATGTTGGAGGGTATGGAGTTATCCGACCCCAAGCCATCAGAAGGCAATCCTGTATAGGGAAGGTTTTTATAAAAAAATGTTTAGTGTTTTATTATGTTTTCATATATGTTGGAAGCCGCCCAGAGTAGCTGGGGCAACCCAGTCAGATGTGTGGAGTATACACAGCAAAATTATCATTATGGAATGAGACGTCCCTATTTTCATCGGAGAAAGGCTGGAGGGTATGTTGTCTGTCTCTGCTTCTCCCTCTTCATACCTCTTTGAGCTATGGGAAACCAGTGGGGAGGGGAGCTGGGTGCTGCAGGAGGGGGAGACAGCCTGGCTTCCTTACCAGTCCGACTCATCTCAGCCTCTTGGCCCCACTCCTCTCCAGCCTCCGCTTCTGCCTCTTGCTCTGGACTGCTCTCTACCCAGCTTCTTCCTGCTCTGTTACCTCTTCTTTTCTTCTTCTTCTTCTTCTTCTTCTTCTTCTTCTTCTTCTTCTTCTTCTCCAACTCTTGACCTTTTATTAGCTTTAGAAAGTGTAAAGGTTTGCAGTTAGATCTTGTTGAAAGCAGCCATGTCAACACTCTGGACGTAATCTTCAAACTTGGTGATCTCCTCTTCCAGTATATCTGTCCCAACTTTGTCACCTTCCACCACACACTGGATCTGGAGTTGATTGATGCCATAACCCATTGGGAACAGTTTGGAGGCTCCCCAAACCAGACCATCCATCTGAACAGATCTGACATATTCCTCCATCTTGGCCGTGTCCGTCTCATCGTCCCAGGGCTTGACATCCAAGAGGATGGAAGACTTGGTAATC